AAAAAGGCTGTGCTGCAACATTTGCTTAAAAGAACTCAAAAACTTCCCTCCACCTCATCATACCATAATGGAGAATTTCTGACTCGTCTCCACCATTCCTTTCTTGGGGAAATTGCTACAGCACGAGGTGGCATCTTGGCTCTGGAGGCCTCTGGATGAGGTGGATTATCTAGATTCATTTCAAGCTGGCTTCAGACCTAGCTATGCTTTAGTAATCTCAGTGGACAATGTGACTGACCTTCAACAGAGCCCCAGTTCTTAGTTCCACCTCCATGGAACCATGACAATGCAAGAAAGGGTCTTCAAGTAGTTGTACTCAGATTTTCTGTAAAGGTTGGTCAGCTTGATTTCCTTTGTCCTGCTTATTTTATTTATTCAGGCAGACCTTTGGCAAGTTACTGAAAGATTTTGATTGCTTGTTTTGTGCTTATGTAAACTTTTAATTGGGATTCTGTTTTTAAAGCCTTTGGGTGGGGTGGTCCTAGTAATTCTAGGGGCAGCTGTAGGTTCAACCTGTAACCGTGTTCTACAAAGCCTGATTTGATTATCTACAGACCTGTCTTCCCCCGCTTCATCTTAGGCATCTAAATATGCCACCACTACAACTTGTCAGGTGTTCTCCTTCCAATCCTGCTATCCTCCTCCTCCCAAACCATGTTTTTGTAAGATTTTTCTACCAAAGAGATCTCAAATGCTTGCACCTTTTTGTGATATTTTGGTTGGCCTAGTAACTGTAGTGCAGATTTTGAAAATGTGTTTTACTTTATTATTATTATTATTATTAGCCACGGCGAGCACCATTTCTCACAGAAATACACATTTTAGGGCAGCATCCTATTTTGCATGCTTTCTGGTTATAAAGGCAATGTGAAATTAGTGGAAACTCTTGACAGTAGAATTCACAGAAATAACAGCTCCATTAACCTGTCATGATCTGGAAATAAGCGCATCCACTTATTTCCAGAATTACTGTAGAAGCACAAAATCCTTGTTGCTCCTGCTGACACAGAAGACCTACTCAGAATGAAATGGCCATGCAGGATAAGATGCTTGATAAATAATTTACGGCAGTAAGCTCAATGGGTGGAACATAGGCTTTGCATGAGAAGGTCCTAGGATCAACTTCTGGCATCTCATTAAAAGGATTGTGGGCAGCAGGGCTGGGAAGTGGTCTGCACCTGAGATCTTAGTCAGTTACTGCTGGTCAAAAATATTGAAATCTTATTCTTTTAGGGGAATCAATGCCCTAGGTAGCAACTTAGGTACAGAACAGTTTTTGGTTCACTTGTAACTTGTGATAAATTACTGTCCATAAAATATTTTTGCTATAGGCTAGGCCTCCAGACTTTACGTGGTCCAGAAGTCATATAGTCTGGAGCACCAAAACAATTTTTGCAGTGCCACTTAACAAACCCACCTATAGTCCATGAGCTGCACTTTTGCCACCCAGACAAACCATTCTCCCCTACTAACATGTTGTTCTTGTTGTCTTGCAGCCCCCTCCTCCTGGCTGTCCTCCCAACGCGGCCCAGCTGGCTGTCATGCAGGGTGCCAATGTGTTAGTGACGCAACGGAAGGGCAACTTCTTCATGGGGGGCTCTGATGGCGGCTACACCATCTGGTGAAGGAAGGGGGGGGCTACATTGGTGTAAAGGAACGACATCACATACTGTCAGCACTTCTCACAATGTAACCGCTTTAGTCGTATTAACCTGGAGTTGCAGTTTAGACACATGACGATGCGGGGTGTCTTCCTGGTGCCCTGGCCCTTCAGGCACTTTTTCTTTTGAAAATTAGACAAAACAAAACAAAAAAGCAAACTTCAAGTACAAACCATGCAATGGTAGGAGTGCCTCTCTTAAACCTTGGGGGTTAAATTGTGAAATGAACGCAAGCTAAGCTATCCCACAAATTTCTCTCTTAATTCCATTGGAGAGTGCTTTCCTGGGAACATTCTCTCTCTTTCTCTCTCTGGCTTTTATTAATCAACTATATATAGAACCAGGAGTTTGGGGTAGGGCTGAAATACAGCTGCGGGTGGGGGGGAGGGTAGAAATGGAAGTTTTTGGGGGAAAGCCTGGTTTCCAAGTAACAAATATATAAAGCTTGCAGTTATACCTGTTGCCAATGAATAAAACTAAGAGAAATGCATCTTTTTTCTTTTCCATAGAATCAATGGTGCTGGGGAGAAAGGTAGTCGGACATAATTTTATTTTTGAGAGAATATCCATGGTGGATGCCTATTAGAGGAGCAAGGCTGGGGGGCTCCAGTCTTGATTTCAGAACCCCTCAACCAGTTCCTTCCACTCACCTTGCTTTCTATTCCTTTGCTAGGAAGGTATGCAGCTAGAGCGTTGGCCCAGGATGTTCTTTTTATACACTCTTAAGTGAACTTGGACTCCTTTGCACATTAAGAATCTAACTGAAGCCATGTTTTGGTGCCAGAAACACAACATTTCATTAAATGCTTCCTGTACATTTCAAAAAGAAAAAAAAAAGCTTAAAGTGAAACCATTTTTTAAGAGATAAAAAGCAACCCAGTGTCGTAATAACAAACTCTGTGTGGAATGTTATTCAAGCTAGAGAGACAGGAATGTCTGGTGGATATCAATCAGTGTGCAAGTTTGCTGGATTTGCTGGTTTTTTGTTTTTGGGGGAATTTTTTAGAAGCAAACTTTTAAAAAGTGACTTGGGTACAATGAAGTCTTATTAGGATTAAGAAGAATATTTCAGGGATCCTCAATCTTTTTTGTTGTTGTTGTTGCTTTTGTTTTTATGAATTAAAATCAGATTTGGTGAATATATATTATCTTAATTTTCTGTGTGTTGTATGTGTCATTGTCAACCATACAGCTGACTGTTAATGAAAGGTTGGGATTCTAGGTCTCTCTGTAAACACTGTGGTGCACTTAACTTGTGGACTTTTTATACTAAAAACAAGTAGAATAAAGGCTATTTTGAAAATTTGAATAAAGTGACAAACTTGAGTTTAGCTTCTTAAATTTTGATCTATCAAACAACTATAATATTTAAAACCTTGTTTTGTCTATATTTGCTTATTTTGCTACTTTGCTTCATCAGCGTGAAATGTTTTGGTTTATATGACTTGTAGGACAAACTACAGGTGATGCTAAATGCATCATTAGAAAACTGTAAAATTTAAAGGTAATAACAGGAGCATGTGAACAGATTTCTACTGTGGCCATAGCCTGCAAGGAGAGGTTTAATCTTTTCCTTTCCTACCACAATCCTGCTAAAAATTGTTTTCCTCACAGTGCTATTAGCAATTGCTGCTAATGAGAGCTTTCTTTTTCTGGTGTAACAATTCAGGGAGAATTATTTTTGTTTGGACTGCAGTAGGAAGGAAAAGGTTAATTCCCCATTCATTGCACTGAAAATCTGCTCCTCCACACCTACTGAGTATATTTACTTAAAAGTAACTCCTGATTTCATTCTACTTCCTTCTGAATAACAAAGGGTGTAATCCAGTGTATGTTTAGACAGGAAAAAATTCCAAAAAGTCCCAGCATGCTGCTGGGGCAT